TAAATACATGAATAAGAAAGGTTTGGAGGAATATGGGCCAGGAATAGGAAGGTGGGACTAGTTTAGTTTGGGATTATGTTCGGCAAGGACTGGTTGGACCAAAGGGTCTGTTTCTGTACTGTATGACTCTATATACTTACTGATAGAGCACAGCATTAGTGGAATTATTCCTGCACTGGAAAATTTCTAAATTTGTTGCGTAGCAAAAGCTGACGTACTAATGTGATGCCAATACTCAATCAGTATTGGCCCCACATCCTACACTGGGCACTTTGACGTTAATGTAATTTGGGCACTACGGACATTAAATTTTGAAACATCATGTCAGAGCAAATGTTGCACTTCTTTGTTATAGTACATTGAACTAATCAATGCATATGAATTAATCAACGCATATGAATAAATTAGTTGCCACAGTAGTCTGTTTAGGCCACATGCCTACTTTGCCCTTCAATAAGATCATTGCTAATCTGATGATGGCCTCAACTTCACATTGTACTTATGGTCTGACTTCGATCAATCTACTTCTGACTTTAAAATATTCAATGACTGCCCTCAATGCTTTCTGGGGAGCAGAGTTACAGAGACTCATGACCAAAGAAAAAAATTCTCACCTCTATCTTACACAGAAGACTCCTTATTTTCAAACTATGTCCCTTAATTCAAGTCTTCCTCACAGAGGAAATCATCATTTCAGCATCTTTTCCTGCTAAGTCCTCACAGGATCTCACATGTCTCAGTAAAATCAACATTTATTCTTTTAAACTCAAATGGATACATGCCTAAATTGTCAAACCTTTCCTCATACTATCATCCTCCCATCCCAGATATCTGCAGAGTGAACCTTCTCTCAATGACGTCAAACACATTTATATCTTTTCTTAAGTAAGGAGACCAAAACTGCAGACCGTATTCCAGATGTGGTCTCACCAACACTCTGTACAATGGTAGCAAAATATTCATATCTTCATGTTCCATTCCCTTGTAATAAATAACAATCTATTTGTCTTTCTAGTCACTTGCTGTGTCTGTATACTAAGTTTGAGATTCCTGTACCAGGGCACCCAGAACTCTCTCTGTCTCACTTCTGCAATCTCTTTCTACCTAAATGAAATGCTGCATTTCTATTATTCCTACCAAAGTGGACAAGTATAAATTTTCTGAAGTTGGGCTGAATCTTATGTTTTTTGGCTAGGTCTGAATGATTTGGAGAGATTTCCACTGTGAGACATAGTGAGTTTTTCCCACTGTATTTCACCTGACTTGCCTTTTACCCACCTACCTACCCCATCCCTACGGAGTCCTATGCATCCTATTGTGGTCCCATCTTACCATGCACATTCCCCAGTCAACTTCTCATTCAGGAATCATCCAACAAAAGACCAGCATCCATTGCATCAGTGCCATCTGTAAAAGGATGCTCTATATTTAGACGAACACTGGCATTCCAAAGCTGCCCTGCTTGTTGATATTCAGAATCTGAAGATGTTGAAGAAAGGGAAGATAGCACCGTGATTGACCAGCAGGGACTTGAAAGTCAAGGGGGTGATGTAGAGAAGTCATCTACTGAGGGGACCAACAGAGGAGGCCACAACATCAAGCCCTGGCAGCTCAATCCAATGTGACCACTGGGCTTGGCACTTCTCTACCGTCTGAAGGAGCTGCCAGAAATACCATAAGACGACCTCTTTACTGTACTAGGATTAGTGCTACACTCTGCAACCTCACACTCACTTTATCTTTGCTACTATATCCAGCTCCTATCAAGATTCACTCTCTTCTACTCTTAATTGTCTGCAACATCTTTCCTCACTCACTCTCATCCCATCCAACCTCCCACACCACTAACCTTACATAGCCTCTGTACTGCCTCCTCACTACCTCAAGAACACTGCACCACACTCATCCAATTCTGCCACAAATCCCCTCATAGCCCGCATTGCTCAGATCCCTAAGATTCCACACATAAAATATCTGCCACATTTTTGCCCACTCACTAAAACTTATCTATATCTCTTTGCAGATTCCTGGTGTTCTCTTCATAACTCATCTATTTTTGCATCATCAGCAAATTTTGCTAACATGCATTTGATTCATTCATTCAAGTAATTCATATAAATTGTAACTAGTTATGGGTCCAGGACTGATCCCTGTGGCACTCTATTTGTCATATCTTGACAACTGAAGATGATCCATTTATGCCTATTCTGTTTTCTGTTAGCTAAACATTCCTCCATCCTTGCTATGTTACTGCCTACACCATAACTTCTCATATTGCACAGTGACCTTTTATGTGACAGCTTGTCAAATGCTTTCTGGATATCCAAGTACATCACATCTACACATTCTCATTTGTCCTCGTTGCTAGATACTTAATCAAAAAACTCAAAAGAAAAGTTGGTGAAACATTTGGTCCCTTTCACAGAACCAGAACACCTACGCTCGGTTCGCACTAAACAACTGCACCTCCCTGTCGCGAACCATTTCAACTCCCCCTCCCATTCCTCAGACGACATGTCCATCCTGGGCCTCCTGCAGTGCCACAACGATGCGACCCAAAGGTTGCAAGAACAGCACCTCATATTCCGCTTGGGAACCCTGCAGCCCAATGGTATCAATGTGGACTTCACAAGCTTGAAAATCTCCCCTCCCCCTACTGCATCCCAAAACCAGCCCAGCTTGTCCCCGCCTCCCTAACCTGTCCTTCCTCCCACCTAAAACCCCACCCCCATCTCCTACCTACTAACCTCTTCCCGTCCCCTTGACCTGTCTGTCCTCCCTGGACTGACCTATCTCCTCCCTAACTCCCCACCTACACTCACCTTTACTGGATCCATCCCCGCCTCTTTGACCTGTCTGTCTCCTCTCCACCTATCTTCTCCTCTATCCATCTTTAATCCGCCTCCCCCTCTCTCCCTATTTATTTCAGAACCCCCTTCCCCTCCCCCATTTCTGAAGAAGAATCTAAGCCCGAAACGTCAGCCTTCCTGCTCCTCTGATGCTGCTTGGCCTGCTGTGTTCATCCAGCTCTGCACCTTGTTATCTCAGATTCTCCAACATCTACAATTCCTGCTATCTCTGCATCAAGATAGTGGTTGTGTGAAACCTGCTGGGCAGGTTCGGTTGCTCTCTAGTTTACATTCAGTTATTGAATTACTGAAAGCTCTGAGAGAAAACAGAACAGTCCTGTAAGACACAAGTAAAAGTTTTCAGCGGTCTACAGATGCTGTTTGCGTTGACCGATGACTTCAGAATTCAAGCAAGGCACCTCCTCTATCCATCCTCTATCCGCCTCCCACTCTCTCCCTATTTATTTCAGAACCCCCCTCCCCTCCCCCTTTTCTGATGAAGGGTCTGGGCCCGAAACGTCAGCCTCTCTGCTCCTATGATGCTGCTTGGCCTGCTGTGTTCATCCAGCCCTGCACCTTGTTGTCAAGGTACAGGTAGTTCTGTTATAACACATGTTTCGTTAACGCAAATTGGTTGTAATCGACTGATGAATAGTGGACGCTGTTTGGATAATGTGAACTTTCTGCTGTACAGGTATAATGATTTTCTATAGCGATTTCCCTATGACTCGATTTTTTTAATGGCAATTTTCTATAGTACAATTTTCTGCAGCACGAGGTCACACAAGAACAAATCACATTATAGGAGAACTACCTAATGTACAGACCCATGTGCTGGTAAACAACTCATTGCCCAAGGATTGCACGAAGTTCAGCAAGAACCTTTCAAAACTGCTTAAGTGAACTGGCCAATTAAAACTCTATTTTCTTTCTAATTTATCCTTTTACTGGGTGTGTAAGCAGAGGTTACAAAAAAAACTGGTTTAAATCATAGACATCAATTAGATTACCTTGTTATTTAACTTTGCTCTGCTAAAGTTACAGCATTCATAATAAATTGTTAATTTTTAAACTTATGCTATTTCTTTAAATTTATCTGAAATTGGTTATCCATAAAATCTAGTTAGAAACAACTGGGCAATTTTGAGAGTCAATGAATCTTTTAAATTCACTGTGTTACAATATTCAGTGTAAGCTAGTCTAATTTGATCTGGCTTGCTATCCCAGTGTTGGAACACAGCTCTACAGAAAAGCATCATACATAAATACACGCCTTAGACGTAACCCAAATATCAATTTTTAAAACATATATATCTCCACGTGTGAATTTTAAAGGTATGAATCTCAAAGAAGCTTGTTTACCTTCACCATGCTCATCTGTAAATTGGAATGCTTGAACAAGCCGCATGACTTCATCCACTGAACGCCCAACAGGAAGGTCATTGATCATGATCTGGCGCAGAATACCATTATTATCAATGATGTACAAACCTCTGAAGAAAAACAATTACAATATTTAAATTTTATTTGGCGACAAATATCACAATGTTGATGCAATGTTGGGATCTGAGAAACAAACTTCCAGTTTACCAATTTACAGAAGTACCGTAAGTAATTTCAAATTACACCAAAATTTCTTACTCAAGAGAAATTATTGAAGACTGCTAGTATTTTCTTCAAATTTATTTTAATTTGTTAAATTGACATTGGCAGTAATTTTCTGTAAATTAAGTTGTCAAGAGGACACAAAGTCCACGAAAGGGATAGTGGTAAGTTAAATAAGAGTCAAAAATTTGACTAATATAGAGTATAATATAGGATAACGTGAACTTGTCAACTTTGACAGTTAGAATATAAAAGTAGTATATTATTCCATAACAGAAATTAGAGAGACATCTATGTCATGGTTCGTAAAACACAAAAAGTTAACATGCAAGTACAGCAAGTGATTAGGAAGAGAATATTAACATTTATTTCAAACAAAAAGAAATCAAGTATGAAAGTAGTGATTGTGGCACAGTGGTAGCACCCTTACCCCTGGACTGGGAGGCCCAGGTTCCAGTTCCACCTGGCCAGTTAGATTTTCACACCACAGCTATGCTGCCGGCGAGCAGAAATTACAGGGTGTTATCAGGGTATGATTTTTGCATCTTTGGAGGTCCTGCCTGCTTTCTAGTAGAGGTCTTTTCAAGGGATTGAATGGCCACTGATAATATCATGGTGGTCAGTAGGTGTACGGTTGGTGACTATATTTTGATTTTTAGTATTCTAACCCCTCATTCAACAATTTTCTGCCTGTCAGACAATGGTTAAAATACAGATCTATCTTGCTCTCTCAGACTCAAATCCAGGTTTTGTCTCCAGAACTGCTGGTTTTACATTTCTGGATCAGTACTTTACTAACCTAATTCTAATAATGACCTTCAGTTCTACACTACATCTTATTTTCAATCATATAATCCCAATAACTGACCGGAAAGCAACGCCTTCATCATCTTTTAAAACACCATAATCTGCACAGATTGTGCGACGAAGGTCTGATACTAAAGGAACTTTTGTTGGACCAAGTCCTCCTTGCTTTCTTGGAGTGTTGATCCTATGAAACACAATGAAATTAGCTTTAATTTAACTTCAACAATAAAACTGAATATAACAGCAATCACACAGAAAATATGTACCATAAAATGAGGTTCATTCGTTAAAATACACAAAGAAAAATTCTACTTGATCATTTTTCCAGTCATTGTATTCAATTTTTTTTGCAATCACTCAAATAACCAGAAATCTATAGGTCAATGTTTTAAGCTTCTGCTATTGAAGTTTTAGTACTACAGTAAAGTGTCACATAAATCATGGATTCTCAGCCATTTTGCTTGAGGCTCCCCTTCCGTGTTATAAGAACTCAATGAACCCCGTAACATAATACTTTGTTTTTCCGTGAAAGATTAGTATACAATTAAACATGTATATATTATCTTTGTTTCACTCCTTTAATGTGAAATGTGATGGTGGAACTAGCAATAAAATCAAGCACAGCAAAATCCCACAATAGAAAATCAAATGGATCACCACATGTGATGCATATCCAAGCTTCAAACTCATTTCGTATGATGATTTTTTAAATGTATTCATGGCTATCCATATCTTGCAGTGGAGATGCTTAAGGGCTTCGACTCATTGCTGTATATGTTTAACAGAAATTAAAGAGTGGGAAAAACTTGTGTTCTCTGCCCAAGAGAACAGTAGCTGTGAGACTTGATGTGCAACATCAGAGGCTGCTATCCTAAGGCAAGAACATTTCATACCAATTAGTTGTTTCTCTTAATATTCAAGAGATCGATTACAAAAATCTTATGAATAGATTTTAATTGAGATTCAAGATATAGGTATTGTTTCCAAATAAATTATATTTAACACACACACATACATATATATTAAAAAAAAATCACTAAAAAATTAGAAAAAAAGGTTTAAAAACTAATCACAAGTAATAGAAGGGGGCTTCACTCATCTCTTAACAAGGACAGCAGCAAGAAGAATAAGCAGACACAGATGTCATAGTTGAGAGACAAGGGTCACTGGTAATCACGCAAAGTTCAACTTCGCACATCCTAAGATGGTCCAATCAGATCATAGCAATAAGCAATTACTAATACAGAGTGATGTACTAGAAACCCAATCATAGCTGGATAATTCAGCACTGATTAACTAATAGCATACAGGGGACGGAGTATGTGCCGCCATGTTAAATCATCAAGAAAATGTATAAAAGACAATTTGCTTGTATTAGAGTCAGAGTATCATTGACTTCTCTGCCAATTTGAGTCAAAGATTAAGGGGGCGACTGAGCCCACACGTTGAAGCCAGATTCAGGGTGGTCTTTGGCCTCTCCCTGCATTATACTGGTAAATGTATGAATAAATTACCACATGCTCAAACTCTGCTGTCTCCTGAAATTTACTGCCTCCGAGAGGTTGCTCCTACACCAATAAACAACTCAGTTTTCAGTCTTTCTCACAACAGCCGTGTTGGAAGCCTTCAGACATGGTGACTCTCAGATGAAATCTTGTTCCAAAGACCCTGATTTCCTCCCAGCAATGGGTGGGCTCTGACAAGAAGGAATCCTTAGACACAATCCTGTGGCTTACTAGATTATAACAGCCAGTGTTATCACCTTTGCTGAAAGTCATCTCATACCTGGTGATAGTAGAAACAAGCTGGCTCCTCTGGATTTCCTCCAACTTGCCAATGTTCACGAATTTAGAGGGTGAATAGTTGTTAATGGGGACTGTTAGTGAATAAAATAGGTAGTGTGTAATGGCAGGCTATGTGATAACAAGGCCTGGTGCGTGGGGTAGGGGGTTAGGACATGGGAGCGTTTAGGCCCTAAAATTATTGAACTCAATATCGAGTCCAGAGGGTTGCAGGGTCCCCTAGCGGGAAATGAGATGTTGTTCTTTCAGCTACACATAAACTGATGTTTTCCCAGCTACCATCAGTTCTGAGGAAGGGTCACCGGACCCAAAACGTTAACTCTGATATTTTCTTCACAGATGCTGCCAGACCTGAGCTTTTCCAGCAACTCCTGTTTAAGGTCCTGTACATGTTGAATACACCTTGGGTGCGCAAAGTCAAAAACTCCTATACCCCATCTACTGACCTCAATGTAGGGACCTAGTTGTAGAGGAGGACAGTGTGAAACAGGCTGGTAGGCTAGAGAAGGTCAATGTTAGTAAGGAAGATGTGCTAGGAATTTTGAGGAAGCTGAAGACAGATAAGTCCCCCGGGCCTGATGGGATTTATCCAAGGATTCTATGGGAAGCGAGGGAAGAGATCACAGGGCCTTTGGCGATGATCTTTTCGTCCTCACTGTCCACGGGTACAGTGCCGGAAGATTGGAGAGAGGCAAACATCATTCCCTTGTTCAAAAAAGGGAATAGGGATAACCCCAGAAATTACAGGCCAGTTAGTCTTACATTAGTGGTGGGCAAATTATTGGAAAGGGCTCTGAGAGATAGGATTTATGATCACTTGGAAAGGCACAGTTTGATTCGTGATAGTCAGCATGGATTTGTGAGGGGTAGCTCATGCCTCACAAAACTTATTGAATTCTTTGAAGAGGTGACCAGACACATGGATGAAAGTAGAGCAGTGGATGTGGTATACATGGATACAAGTAAGGCGTTTGATAAGATTCCCCATGGTAGGCTCATGCAGAAAGTAAGGAGGAATGGGATGGGGGAAAATGTGGCAGATTGGATTCAGAATTGGCTGACCCTTAGAAGACAAAGGGTGGTAGTGGACGGAAAATATTCAACATGGTGCACCACAAGGATCTGTCCTGGGTCCTCTTCTATTTGTGACTTTTGTAAGTGATTTGGATGAAGGAGTGGAAAGGTCGATCAGCAAGTTCGCGGATGATACGAAGGTGGGTCGTGTTGTGGACAGTTTGGAGGGCTGTTCTAGGTTACAAAGGGACATTGATAGGATGCAGAGCTGGGCTGAGAAGTGGCAGATGGAGTTTAACCCTGAAAAGTGAGGTGATTCATTTTGGAAGGACAAACTTGAAAGCAGAATACACGGTAAACGGAAAGATTCTTGGCAGTGTGGAGGAGCAGAGGGATCTTGGGGTTTATGTTCACAGTTCCCTGAAAGCTGCCACCCAGGTGGATACAGTTGTTAAGAAGGTGTATGGTGTGTTAGCTTTCATTAATAGAGGGATCGAATTCAAGAACCATGAAGTTATGCTCCAGCTATACAGAAGCCTGGTTCGGCCACATCTGGAATATTGTGTCCAGTTCTGGTCGCCTCATTACAGGAAGGATGTGGAAGCGTTGGAAAGGGTGCAGAGGAGATTTACCAGGATGTTGCCTGGAATGGAGGGAAGAGTCTTACGAAGAAAGGTTGAGAGAGCTAGGGCTTTTCTCTTTAGAACGACGAAGGATGAGAGGTGTCTTGATAGAGGTGTACAAAATAATCAGATGTAGAGATACAGTGGACAGCCAGAGACTTTTTCCTAGGGTGGAGGTAGCTATTACAAGGGGGCATAGTTTTAAAGTGAGTGGAGGTAGATACAGGGGAGACGTCAGAGGTAGGTTCTTTACTTAGATAGTGGTAGGGGCGTGGAATGCATTGCTGGAGAGGGTAGTGGAGTCGGCCTCATTAGGGGCATTTAAGCGGCTATTAGATAGGCATATGGATGATAGTATAAGGTAGGGGTGGACGTTAGATAGACCTTAGGATTAGGGTAAAAGTTCGGCACAACATCGTGGGCCGAAGGGCCTGTACTGTGCTGTACTGTTCTATGTTCTATGTAACGTATTGCTCAGAGTAATCACCATACATGTTTTCCAAGGACACCTGCTCACTTATTTGTATGTTCGATCACAACGCGAGCGGTACTCTCAAGTGCCTTTTCCCCAGTGGAGTATCAATCAGGTCACAACTATTAGAAACTCCAGACTACAGAAAGTGTAACTGAATACAGAACAGGAGAGCTCAATTATAGCTGTGATACAGGATGTCTCACCCTTGCGAATCAGAGTCCCAGATGAGCACAGAGATAATCAGCTCACACTTCTCAAACAGATACTCATGGCAAAATTGGTGAGTAACAGTTGTCATCTCTGCTCCTGTGCTAATTAGCACAACATTTCTACCTTGCCAAATTTCAAGCTTACCGTAGAGCAAGTCCCTATTACTCTACACAAAACAGCTTCTCCTGAACAAACTTTGCACCCTGCTCCCTGCCCCACTGGCTCTCAGTGGGATGCCCAACTCGTTTAACAACTGGTGAGGATAAGGCCATTGCGCTGAAAAGGGTCTCTGAGCCTGATAACAATGCTTTCATCAAGCAGAGCCAGCAATCTCATTTGAAGTGCCCAAACCTGTCACAATTTGAAAACCTCTTGAACATCCCTAAGATGGTGTCAGTGGCAAAGCTTAATCGGATAGTGAAGACTGGATCTGTGCTGCTGTGTTACAAACTTTTCAGTCTGTGGCTTCAGCCTGAGGTCTAATCTCCATCTATGCCAACAGTCACCTCCCTGATGGTAGCCAGTTATTAATCTTAGGAGTCCAATCTTTCTGTGTGATCTGGGTGATGTGATCTCACAATTCAAAGGCAAATCATTGAAATTTGTCACTGTTAAGCCTCAACTCTATCTGGACAATTCCATCTTTCACTACTTCTGCTAGGCAGTTCTTTAGTATTCTGTCCTGGTTAATTGCAAGCAGGAAACCAGGAGGAAAATTGATTGAACGACTTTATCAGCACTAGGAACACAGAAACCAGATCCTCCGCTTTGGCTTGCTTGCAATCAAAAAACCACTAACTGTTGTCCCAGAAAGCCTTGTCAGTATGTCAAAGATCCACTGCAGACTTTTGTGAACATCTGTGCCTTTACCCGTTGGGCTTTCTTACTTTTGTTCATGAATGCCACCTGTTCACTTGTTGAGGCCGCTGGATGCTATCAACAGCTATGCATTCTCAATCCAGTCATCAACTGCTGGATCATCAGGTCTTCACCTGGATTTGTCTGGCTTCAGCAAATAGAATATTCATCGTAAGTAACTTCCTTCCTCCATAACGTTATG